GGCTGTGCTGGCTCCCAGGAGCTGTGTTTGGGGTGTGATCACAGCAGCTGGGAAGTCTCTTTTCGAAAGGCTCTGCAGGCTGGGCTTCCCATTGTGCCAAACCCCTCCCTTTCAGCCTCATTCTTCCAGTCCCGACCTTTGGATTGCCTAAAAAGGCCAGGCTGTTTCTCTTCACAGCCTGGTTTTTCCCCTCCATCAGGAGGACGGCAGTACCCGCTTCAGGAGTTTCCTTGGAGGGCAGAAACATCCAGCAGCACCCCCTGAGCCCGCATGGCATGGGAACCCACCAGCCCCTGTGTCAGAGCCCATGTCAGGAATGACACATCACTGGCTACAATTCTTCTCGGTCCCCCATCCCTTTCCAGCCACCACAGCTGGCAGACCCCATCTCTGGGATTCCCCAGCCCTGGTTTTGGGGGCAGCCTCTTGCCAGCCCTCCCTGCTCCAGAGGACTCCACAAGTGCATCATCCCATGGTGTGGGACCAGCTGCTCCCCTTTGCCTCCACAGCACATTTTGTTCCCCTCAGAGCAGCAGCAGTGAAGGAAGAGGTGTTGTTTGTCCTGACCATCAGGGCTACCCTGCTCAAACCAAGAGATCAGCAGTGAGGACACCTTCTCCTGAGCTGCCTGGAAACCTAAGGGAGGATAAAATCTGCTTCTGGGTGAACCTCACCCGGCATTTGCCACAAAAGGAGTGCCAGCCCTTTTGCTGCTGCTGATTTTCCTCAATCAATCCACCATGGGAAAGGTGCAGGTGCCTCCACTCAGTTTAAATTATGCCACCAGGTGATTTGAGCAGGTGACTCTCACCATGAAGCACAAACACAGCCCCAGCAAAACCACATCCCAGCAAAACCTCCTGGCACACATCAGGATGGATTTTCTGACGGGAGAGACCATGGAAATCATTTTGTCCTGGGGATCCATGTGAGGGCTCACAGCCAGACACACAGAAAACCTGAGAGAAGATTTAAATTGCTGTGAATTCCCTGTTAGTCCACAACATGCCCCCCTACATGCTGTGGGCCCAGCAGGCCACACAGAGACCAAATCTGTGCTACAGGCTTTCATCAGCAGCAAAAAAAGGAATAGGAAAACCCTGCTCTGGGCACATGGACCTGACCAGCCTGGCCTCACAAATGCCATTCAGACAGATCCTTTCCCCAGTTCCAAGTAATGGCCACTTTAAGATATGTCAGAGTGTTTACAATCCCTTCATCCTTATTTTCAGAATACTTTGCATATTTTGCCCAATTGCAACACTTGGTGACCACAGTCACACTTCTCCAAGTCACTCTGGGTGCCATGCAAAATAAGGAACAGGAGGTGACAATCCTACAGCCAGTGACCTCACTGAGCACAGACAAAAGGCTGCCAAAAAAAACAAGATTATTCTCCTTCCTCCTACATCTCCACAACTCCCAGCAAATATATCCAGAGCCCTACAAACACCACCCTCAATGCCAAGCAGGGCTTGGTCCTGGAACCACTCCACTATTCACTGCAGATAAGGGAAGAGGCCCCCAAACCAAGACCCCATCCTTTAGCAGCAGCTGCACCGTGGGGAGCACAGACAAGGGGAGGCTTGTGCAGAGCCACCCAAGGCTGACACTTGCTGGAGATTAACCCTAGGTCCAGAGTCTCATGTTGCAGCAGTCCAGCTCTCCGGCAAAGACCAGCTTGGATGGAGCTTGGAGCAATCACAGATAGTGGAAGTTGCCCCTGCCTATGGCAGGGGGTGGCCCTGGATAACCTTTGAGATCCTTCCAACCCAGCCCTGTCTGTGGCTCTATGAAATCCAGGCTCAGACTCACGTGCATTTCAGAGGTGCTGTGTTGTACCAGTCTGGGAGCAGTGTAAGCTACACTGAACAACCAGGCATAAACCAGTATGGAACCAGTATGTGCTGGTGCTCTGGGAGGTGATCACTGGCTGTAAGAGGAAGCAGTGAGCTGATGCAGCCATCAGGCAGCAGAAACACAGTCATCCTCTTTTTTGAGTGGGTTGAAAGGTCAGTGTGCCCCTGTCACTGCCCTCAGAGCTGACACCCTTCACTCTGCCACCCTGAGGGCAGCTGGGTGGAAACTGCTGGAGCTGGAGCAGCGCCTGTGGCTGTGTGGATGCAGCTCCATGGCCATGGGAGCACTCAAGGTGGGGCAGGTCCCAGCTGTCCTCTGAGGAACATCCCTGCAGCCACCAAGACGTCAGCTCAACCATCCAACTTTTGGCAATAGCTGAACAATCTTCCCACGTCTGTGCCCTACTAAAATCCTAGAGTAATTGCAGAGCAATCACTTTGTGTTCGGAGATCACTGAGGAACAGCAGACATACTGACCCATACAAAAAGTTCTTTTTTTCCAAATGAGAGCATTAAAACGAGTGAATGACAGAAGAGCACCATCAGTGCTGCACAAATTCACTTCTAAGCACGTTCACAGCAGTCCAGGCAGAATTAATCCATGCCCTGACAAAGGAAAGAATTAAAGGGAGAAAGCCATAGCAGGAACCCCAAGGCCAGGGATCTGAGTAGTGCCTTCCAGTTTAGAGAGCAGCTGGCACGGCCATAAAATGGGCAGAAATGTGAAGCAAGAGGGACCCAGACAGGTGAGAGGTGGGCAGAGAGGAGCCAGCTCCCAGGGATAGACCAGGGAACATCTCCTGGGAAAGCCCCAGAACATGGCACCAGGGGTTCAGCATCAGGACCTGCAGTCAGACCCGTGGGACTCTGCCCCAGGCACACAGAACTGTCACAGAGCAGCTTCCCCATCACCTGGGCACAGGTGGGAATAGCTCTACAAGGGGTGAGCTAGAACTGTCCCCGCGGGACCTGCAGTCAGACCCGTGGGGACTCTGCCCCAGGCACACAGGAACTGTCACAGAGCAGCTTCCCCATCACCTGGGCACAGGTGGGAATAGCTCTACAAGGGGTGAGCTAGAACTGTCCCCTTGTCCCCTGCTGTGTCATGAGCTGGGAGCAGCACTGATGTGAGCAGACTCTGGGCCACCAACAGTGTAAACAAGGATAAATAAAGGACATGTGTGACCCAGTGATGTTGAACTGGTGAGCAAGAGAATGGGGACCTGAGGCTGGTGAGCTCAGAGGCATGGAAAACCACTGGGAATTACCAGAGGGAAATCACAGAACTGCCCCAGGAGGTGCAGCTGGATCACATCAGACACCTCTGAGGACTTTGCTGGGATAGGAGGAAAGGAAGTCAAGAGACTCTGAGCTCGAGAGTGATGCTCACATGTGGCTCATCTACTCTGTGACTCCAAGAGCAGTCAGGTTTGACTCCAGCAGCAATCAAATCAAATCATTCTGCCACCAAGGCAGCCTCAGGTTGGCTTTGCAGAGCAGGGGCCTGAGAGAGGCCAGCACAGAGCTGAGCCACTGGTGCAGCCATGGGCCTCTGCCTGCGCACACAGCTCCCAAGCTTGGCTTACAAAGAATTCACAGAATTCACAGAATCGTTCAGGTTGGAAGAGACCTTCAAGATCATCAAGTCCAACCCATGCCCTAACACCTCAACTAAACCATGGCACAGAGTGCCACATCCAGACTCTTTTAAACACATCCAGGGATGGTGACTCCACCACCTCCCCGGGCAGGCCTTTCCACTATTTGATCACTCTTTTATAAAAAACTTTTTCCTAATATCCAACCTCTATTTCTCTTGGCGCAGCTTAAGACTGTGTCGCCTTGGAAGCAGGGTCCTCCATGAAAATCCCAACTTGATCCAGAACAAAAGCAACAGCATTTTCAGGGGTGCTAAGAAAAGCTCCTGACTCCCACAGGGATAAAGATCCATCACTGGACTGAGCCTGCTTGAGCTTCCCCAAGCCCTGAAATGCCCCAGTTGGTTGCATCCTCCCCGCTTGGTGCTGCCTTCCAGGAGCAGGGAGCTGAGCTCAGATGCTCTCAGGCAGCTCTCAGGCACTGCCATCCTGCCTGGAGAGCTCCTGATCCAGGGGACAGCAGAGGCTGGCACAGAGCCCATGACCCACTGGAGCAGCACAGCCCTGAGCTGTCTGTGCAGCAGCAGCCCTGAGCTCCTTGGGAAGGGCTGAATCTTCCCCAGAGCCCACTGCACTTTGCCAGCCTCACCCCCAGCAGAATAACTGAACATCCTGAGCTGGAGTTGATCCACAAGGATCACATCCAACCCCTGCCGCTGCACAGACACCCCAACAATCCCACCCTGTGCATCCCTGGCAGTGCTGTCCAAACACTCCTGGAGCTCTGGCAGCCTCGGGGCTGTGCCCATTCCCTGGGCAGCCTGGGCAGTGCCAGCACCCTCTGGAGAAAGAACCTTTCCTGATAGCCAGCCTAAATCTCCCCTGACACAGCTCCAGCAGTTTCCTTGGGTCCTGTCCCATCTCACAGAGCAGAAATCGGAGCTGTCCCTCTGCTGCCCCTCGGGAGGAAGCTGCAGACCCCGAGGAGCTCTGACCTCAGGCTCCTCTGCTCCAGCAGGAACACACCAAATGACCACAGTCCACAGTTTCTCCTTGCAGGGCCTCTCCTCTCACCCTTCCCAAGCTGTAGAGCCAGGAGGAGCAGCCTCACCCCTCACACTATTTCAGCACTGGACCTTTCTCATGCAGGGAGAAGCAGAAGATCTGATACAGGGACTTGGCAGAATCCAGGGCTTTTGCCCAGTGCTCCTGAACCCCGTCCCACGGGCTGAGGGCTCTGAGGTTGAAAAGCAGCACCTGGAGCTGTGCCCAGCCTGGAGCACAACACTGCAAATCTCCTCTGCGAACCGCCCTGAGCCCACAGCCGAGCTGCCCCAGCCTCCCTGGAAATTAGCTTTACTCAGTTCGGTCGATCTGATGCAAGAGCTTGGGCTTCCGCATCCCGCCATGTGCGCGGCTGCTCCGGCACGGGCGGCAGCCTCGGGGGTCCCGCCGCTCCGCTGCCCACCCCGCGGGCACACGGCAGGGCCGTGCCCCTCCCCAGCCCCGCGCCTCCCCGCATCCTCGGGGCATGGAGGGAGGATGGGGCAGCTCCGGGCTGGGGCAGCGGCAGCCCCGGCACGGGAGGGGAGGCGGCTCCGCTGCGCCCGGCGGGACCCGGCGGCCGCCTCCGTCCCGCACCCACCTGCGGCCGGGCCGGGGACGGTGTCGGTGTCAAAGCCGGGGTCGGTGCCGGCGGCGGGGTCGGTGTCAGATGCGGGGTCGGGTCGGTGCCGGAGCCGCGCTGGGCCGGCGGCGCTCGGCGCTTTTGTCGCCGGCGGGGCAGGGCGGGTCGCGGGGCGGCGGCGGCTCTGATGTCACGGGCGGGGACGGCGCGGCCGGACGGCCCCGACAGCGCCGGCACCTCCTGCCGCTGCCCGGGAGCCGCATCCACCGCCGGGGGAGGGATCCTCCGGGGCCCTGAGAGCCCCAGGCTGCTTCCCAGGCGGCGGGAGCACTTCCCAGATGCTTCGGCGCTATTTTGTTCTGCTGAACGTTTTCCTCTAAATTAAAATAGACGTGCAGGGTTGGAGAATGGACAGAGAGCAGCCCTGGGGAGAAGGACGTGGGGGGGTTGGTGGATGAGAAGGCCAGCGTGCCCAGCCCCGAGCTCTGGCAGCCCAGAACGCCCCTGTGCTGGGCTGATCCCCCAGGGTGGGCAGCAGGGCAGGGGGGGATTCTGCCCCTGTGCCCTGCTCAGCTGAGACCCCACCTGCAGAGCTGCCCCAGCCCTGGGCTTCCAGCTCGGGAAGGATGTGGAGCTGCTGGAGCGAGCCCAGGGGAGACCACAGAGCTGCTCTGAGGGCTGGAGCCCCTCTGCTCTGGAGCCAGGCTGGGACAGCTGGGGGTGTTCATGTGGACAAGAGGATTCTCTAGGGAGGCCTTACTGTAGCTTTTCCACAGATAAAAAGGAGTTTATAAGACTTCAGCAAGAACTGTTTTACAAAATGGGTGGGCAGGCCCTGGCAATCCTGTCCATGGCCACTGCCATCAGGAGCTCTGGAGCATTCAGCTTCTCTCAGCCCGGAGCCTCTGTGGCTGCCCCTGGATCCCTGGAAGTGTCAAAGGCCAGCTTGGACGGGGCTTGGACTAACCTGGGGTAGTGGAAGGTGTCCCTGGCAGGACAGGTGTGCTAAGATGGGCTTTGAGGTCTCTTCCAACCCAGCCTCGTCTGGGATTATGAGTCTCTCATAACAAATTGCAGAGCAGGGGACGAGGAGAGACTTCTGGCAATGGCTCCCATGGGAACCCACCACAACAGTGCTGCTCTGGGTGCAGACAGATGGGGTGGAGAAATATGCACAGCCCCAAACTGCATGGGAAAGGCTGCAGAGGTGTTGGGAAAACACTCCCAGCACAGGTGGGAGTCTGGCTCCCTGTGAAGGGAGAGTTCTGAGAAGCGAAGAGGCCAGAGCAGTGCAGGAGCAGAGACACTGGTGCCCTTCTCTGATATCCCACACCCTCTGTACCCTCACACGTGTCCCTCTGAGTCCAGCCATCCCAGAGCAGCCTATTGAAAGCATGGCTGCAGGGCTGCAAAGCTGCTTTTCCCTTTTCCTATGTGTTTCTATGCCAGGGCAGTACAGGAGCCCAAGAAGGCCGAGGACCTTGTGATGAACAATTCCAAGGCTCCAGGGGATGCTGTTTACACCCTGAAAGGCCGAGGGTGATCCATGTGTAGGCCCTGCAGCCTGACCCCACCATAAATGCTCTGTCTGGTTGCTGCTCTGTGCTCAGAACCCTGGCAGCTGGCAGGACCCCACATCCCAACTGGCTGTCCCCTCACATGCTCATCCCCGCTGGATTTGCAGCTTGCTGGGGTACGAACTCCTGTTCTCCATCCCCGTGGTAAACAGCGTCCTGAATCTGTCCCCCTGTGGCACTCCCTCTGTGTCTGTGGAGGAGGGCAGGGAGGGGAGTGGGACACCCTCCCTGATCCCAGCAAATCCCACGCAGGGTCAGGAGTCAGGTAGCACCAGACAGGGAAAGGATCTTCCCTTTCTTAGGCATGTTTAGTGCCCTGGAAGATTCCAAGAAGATTCCATCCATTAGTGTTCTGTTCCCTGGACCTGGAGGTCAGCAAATGCTGCCACTTCCAGGAGCAGCTGCACAGGAAGCTGCTGGAGGGGAAGTCAGGAGAATGGAACTGTTTTGCTGGTGGCTAAGTGGCTTCCCATCCTGAGCTGCTGCCCTGGGAGCCCCTGGGGCGCCTGTGCTCCATGAGGATCTGCCAGCCCTTGCAGCAGGTGAGGCTGGAGAGAAGCTGAATGCTCCAGAGCTCCTGATGGCAGTGGCCATGGACAGGATTGCCAAGGGAGGTGAGGCAAAGGCTCCCATTGCATTTCTCTGGCCTGGGCTGGCCTTTTTCTCCTTGACAAATGGAAGAGGGTACTGAAGAACAGGCAGCTGACACGAGAAGCCTGATGGCTGCTCTCTGGGGCTTAGGGGCCCTTCCTTCCACTCCTCTCCTGAGGCAGGGGCAGGACTTTTGTGTAGCTATGATATTTTATGAAAAATCCTTTGCTAGGATTTTTCCCTCCTGAGGAGCTGAGGGCCTCAGGAAAGAAATGCAAACAATAACTATCTGCTGCTGTAGAATGCAACAGGTGCATCTGTGATTGGTGCATGTTGGTTGTTTCTAATTAAGAGCCAATCACAGATGCAGCTGCATCGGACTCTGAGAGTCACAAGATTTTGTTATTCATTTCTATTCTTGTTCTTTCAAGCTTTCTAATCAATCTTTTTCTCTCTGTTATTTTAGTATAGTTTTAATGTAGTATTTGAATATAATATATATAATAATATAATAAACCAGCCTTCCGAACATGGAGTCCAGATTCGTGTCTCCACACTTGGGGAGCTCCCAGCACTTGTGCTGGCAGGAGCTGGGGAGCCCAGGCTGCTGGAGCTGCTGGGATTGTGCAACTGAAACTGGCAGGAAGGGAGGAGGACTGGAAGGGCAGCAGGGAGCTGCTTCCTTTGGACCTGGAAAACTTTGGCACCAGATCCCACAGGAATTTTGCTGTGAACTCTGGGCTAAGAAATTCCTGGCACAACTGGAGGCCATTTCCTCTTTGCCTCCCACTTGGGAGAAGAGCCAGACCTCCACCTGGTTCCAGCTGCCTGTCAGGGAGTTGTAAAAACTGAGAAGGTTCCCCCGGGCCTCCTTTTTCTCCAGGCTGTATAGGAATGTGCCCCCTGTTGACGGAGTGACAAACCTGTCTTTTGTCCCCTTAAAAAGGAAATAAGCCCAGAAGCTTCTCTCCTCAATTAGGTGAAAAGGCATCTCATAGGACCTGGGGGACTTCATCTCAAACTTAAGGATTGGACAGAAGTCTAAAAGTCCACCTGAGCAATTTACTAGAAAAAGAAGAGAACAAAGAAACTAATGGCTTTTGTGAGGTGTTTTACCAGGGGCAGGAGGGCCTCTTGCACCTGGGTCGGTTTTTCTCTGTATAGAGTTTGTTATTCTGCCTTTCATTAAAATCTTTTTGTTTCCAGCACTACCACAGAAGCCATCCTACTGATTTTATGCCTTCTAAGGTATCTGAGCTATCTTGGGTGTGAAACAGATCTCCAAGAGCTTATGAGACCTGGCTCAAGGAGACTCATATTTCAGAGCTGAGCCCCCCCAGTTCCCCCAGTCACTCCTGGTGCTCCAGCCCCTTCCCCAGCTCTGTTCCCTTCCCTGGACATGCTCCAGCCCCTCAGTGTCTCTCTTGCCATCAGGGCCCCCAAACTGCCCCCAGGACTGGAGGTGCCTCTGCAGTGCCAGCACAGAGGGACGGGCGCTGGTCCTGCTGGCTCCACCATGGCTGGTACAAGCCAGGATGTCACTGGCCTCCTTGCCCACTTGGGCACACTGACCACTCATGTGAAGCACCTGTCAACCTAAACATCATCCCCTGCAGCTGCTCCTGGTGGCCAGGGATCTCTCACAGGGATCCCGAGGCCTTGTAGAGCATTAGACACATCCCAGAGCTGATGTCACCACAGCATTTGGGAATGAGCATCCTTTCCCTGGGAGCTAGGAAGCCTCTGCCAGATGCCTCACAGGCTGTGTCTAAGCCAGGGTGCAGGAGATGGTGCTGCAGATGCCAACCTGCAGCAGACTTGGGCAGACCTGCCTCCTCCAGCCTCCCTCCATCCCACAGGAGCAAGGCAGGGGCTGCCAGGTTTCAGAGGTTCTCCTACTCCTGTTTCTTTTCTCCAGAGGAGGCAGAGCAAGTGGATTAAAAGCTGCCTGTCAGCTTCAGAAAGGATCCCTGTATCCCCCAATTCTGCTGCTGGAAACACCATCTCTGGTCTTTGCTCTGAAGAGGCCTGAAGGGGACCAGGCTAGTGAAGCACCCCATTGCAGAGGGAGCAGGGCCCAGGCCTGGCTCCCTCCAGCACTGGCACAGGATGCCTTGGGAGGCAGAGAGACACCCTTGGCACCTTTAGGGAGTGCAGAGAGCCCAGAGCCATCCCAGCTCACCTCCCAGTGTCTCCCCAGTGGCAGAGTGGTGTCTCTTGGCTCTGGAACCTGGGGCTGCCTGGGGCTGTTCCTCTGCCTCTCACCTGCTGCAGCCTTCCCATCTCCCCAGCAGAGCCCAGGGATGCAGGAGTTTCCTGTGCAGGGACTTATAGCCAGGGGAGAATCAGTCTCTTCTTCCAGGGAACAAGGGACAGGACAAGAGGAAGTGATCTCAAGTTGGATATTAGAAAAAACTCGATGGTGCTTTGCAGCTGGGAACCTGCCACCACGTCAGGGAGGAGGAAATGTCCTGCTTCCGAGGCAACAGCTGGGGTGAAAATGACAGCCAGCCACGTCAGGGAGGAGGAAATATCCTGCTTCCGAGGCAACAGCTGGGGTGAAAATGCTTTCCTCTGGTAAGGTCTCCTCATTGAAGTCTAATTGTATCCTTAACACACCCCTCCATCACAAAGGTAACCCCCCCCGCCAAAGTGTGACCCCTCACTGGGATGTATTTTGTGACTATTTTTAAAAGCAAAGCAAAAGAATTTTACACATAAAGGCCTGCATGACTTGAGTCACTTAAGTTCCACTTAAACAAGAATAAACTGTTGAGAATGGGGGGAAAAAGTGAGGGAAAACTCCATAGTTACTGCTGGGCTCAGACAACAGGGTGAACCTGCCTTCTTTCCCTTCAGGACCTGTTGGGTAAGAACTGCACTCTATGCACATTGAATGCTTTAATTGGGGATTAGAGCTTGTCTCGGGAT